AATCCTATTGTATATTTAATTAAATCTATTTATATTTTAGGTTTTTCACCTGGTCGTATAGTATGTACTTTACCACCTGGGTTTACCTTTGATGGTCGTTCAGCAATAATACGTTCTCAACAATCACATTTAACACGTGCATTATGTAACGCTATGATGGATGCAACTAATACAGCAATATGTGTACTTAATTCAGGTGCTATTCGTATTGATGATCAACTAACGGGTACAATAACACAATATGATATATTACGTTGTTTACCATTTGCAGCAAGTCTTATAACAATACGTATTAATGGTTCAAATCTTGTTAAAATATTAGATCGGGGTTTAATGAATATAAATACTGGTATGTATATATCTTATTCTGGTTTAGAATATGATGCAATAACAACAAAATGGTATCTACAATCTAATCGACAATTAGTTGATGATGAAAATTTACAATTAACTATTGTTTCAATACCTTATTTTTTTCATCATACAGATTTAAAACATTCAGCAACAATTTTAAATACGCATACAACAATAACAAGAGCTTTTATTGAGTATCTTGAACGAACATATCAAAAATTGAATCATGGTCAATTACCTTCATAGATCTATCTATCTATATATATATATATGTATTTATACTGGAAAAAATTAATGTTATCTGATATATTTTTTTCTTACTAGTCAATATAAACAATTCTGTTTGTATGAATAAATAAATAAATTTCACAAAAAAAAATATTAGATTTGTTTGTTTGCTTTGAAAATATAAAATTAGTTTTCTGTCATATTTTATTCATTGTATTTTAATAAAATCAAATCTAAAATAATATTGTTTAATAGATATGAGAGGAAATTTTCCTTCGATAAATTTCAATTTTCAAAATAAATATTTCAATAATTGAAAAATAGAAAACAATGATTTACATTATTAAAAATACCAAAAAGAAAATAAACTTTCCAAATGTAATATAAACATCACATACTACTAATTATTTCGAAGGTTGACATTCTCAAATACATTGCCCACATTCATATATTTACACTGTGATTGATTTAAGATATGGATGTCGGTGTGGGTGTAAGATTTCTCCACTTCTATATACACCAAGATTGAAGAACTGACACCATCGACTTAATGTAAATATTATCATCATCAATCGATGAATTAAAGAAAGATGATGCATTCAATATGGCTACGATGAAACAACTTGATGACAATATGCAGCAGTCTCCATGATATAAAAAAATTATTTTTCGAAGCCAACAAATTTTTGATTTAATAAAAAGATTGTTTGCCATTAAATGGATATTTTAATAAGATTAGTAAAAAAAATGACCTCAGTATTTTGTTGCAATTATCTTATAAACTATTAAATTCGAGCTGAAACTTTTTTTTCGTTTTGAAAAATTTTGCACCATTGATTTTTGGTAGATTTTACGAAAAAAAATTCGAGTAAAAACAACATGTTTTCTTCATCTTTTAATTCGAATGGAGGGAGATAAAAAAAAAGAAAAAGTAGGCAGTCTAAACAGTGTCCAGTACCTGTAACAAAAAGAAGTCCAACCCTATTGGACGTATTGTGGCTGAGACAGCAGGAAGATTTTCAACCTTTACGAGCCAGATATTTCTCAGAAGAAAGTATTTTGAAATTCAAAGTCTATCACAAGTTTTGCTCTATTCATCGAGATTTATCTATCTTGATAGTTTCAAATAATTCTGATGAATAGTTCTTCGGAAGCCTTGAAAAGCGATGGAATTTCCTTAACAATATGATTAAAATTAATATATATGTAGAATATCATGAATATCTTATTAAGCGTTTCTAATAATTTTTATTAAATTATTCCTTACATTTGAATGAATTCTCAAAAAAAAAAAAACTTTTGATTTCAAATTTTCAATCTATATCTTCAAATTTTATTAAATATAAATAACTAACAGAATAAATATATAAATATTCTCTTGAATAAATACAATACAAAATTATTTACAAATCCAATTAGACAAAAAAAAACAAATCAATTTTTTTTCATAGCCAATTCAATTTCACGCATACGTCGATTAGCTTTTATTTCAGCTTTAATTGGACAATATTTCATTGTATGTGCTTGATCACCTGATAAATGACAACGTGGACATTTATGAGCACGAAGAATTGGACATAATGTTATCATTTTTTCATTATCACGAAGACGATGTGATGAATAAATATCATATGATTCACCATTTGCTTTACAAAATCCACATTCAAGATATTCACCCAATTGTTCACGACGCCAACGAGCTTTTGCAATTAATGATGATAAATCAAATGAAGCTGAACGAACTGGTAATGGAACCGATGAACGATTATCAGAATTTGATAATGATGATGTTGGAGATGATGAAATCTAAAGACATAGAAAATAACTATTAAAAAAAAAATATATACGATTTTAAAAACTTACAATTGATGATACAGGACTTGGAGCAATAATTAAAGGTATATCTGACATAAATGGTGATTGAAACTAAACATTTATATATATTTCAAATATGATTAAAAAGAAAAAAAGTAAAAATATATTCATGGCTTACTAAATTTGGAGAAGTAGAAAATAAAGGAGATGATGAACAACAATTACAGAATGATTGCATAGATGATGATGATAATGTAGGAAACTAGAAAACAAAAAAAAAAAAAAGAATTGAAAACGAACTATTAAAAAAATTAATAACATACTAATGGAAGAAATGTTGAACTGTTGAAATTCATCATAGTAAGAAAAAAAACGAAAGAAAATCAATAGAAAATAAAATTCTGTTATGATATAGTAAACATTCTCTCAAAGTCAACATATATATATATATGTTTTTCTATTCTAAATAGTTTACAAGTTCTGTTACAAGCAAAGAAGCGGTATCAAATAGGAATACACTAATTAATACAAACACACATATTCTTTTATTCGTGATTAACACAAAAGAACAAAAAATAATGTTCAATGATATACACATCAAAAGAAACGTACATAACACATTTCATTCTCGTTAATAAAATCTATTTAGTCTTTATTTTTGAAATAATATTTATTTAATTTAAAATCAAATTTTATTTTATTTTTTTGAGCTAATTCATATGTTAATAAAATGTATTAATCAAATAATTCATGTGTGTATTGTTTATCGAGATTTATTATAAACTAGTAAGGGAGGGCTGATTCTCTCCTATCCCAAAATCCTAGTTTCAAGACTATTATAAACTGTACCTTCATAATAGAAGACCTCGAGATTTTTATCATATCTCAGCGTATAAATTTTTCAAGAAACAAAAATGATTCTTTAGGATTCTAAAGCTCAAGAGTAATGTTGACACCAGTTTTGGAATCATTTTTAATTGGTAAGAATTCGTCTCTAATTAATTTCTAAAAATATATTTCTAAAATATTTCATTAATTGAATATGTATGCGCGATTTACTCTTCATTGATTATTTGGAAGAAGATAAATGAATAATCGTTGCCATAATCAATTTATTGTCAGAACAAAAGGTCGACATCCTTGAATAAATTCTCTACATCCAAACATTTACAGTGTGATTGATTTACTGGAAAAAGACCAATCGTTAGCATTGATTGCAAGAATATGAGATGACATAAGGGGTTCCAATTTCAGAATGTCGAAAAAATAAAATCATAACGGATGAATGTTTAATGATGAAATTGTATCAATTTTATGATGAAGGTCGTATTGATATTTCAGCGTTCTTGAAAGCTGCTGGATTGAGATCTTTTTAACATTTGTCAAAAAGTTATGCAACTGTTTCTCTCTTTATCTTGTGTTATTTCTTCATATATTTATTGGAATTTTTCTTTTATTCTGACGACACATTAATTGTTGCAATAACTACTGATTAGCTCATTTCTTTTCTTTCACATAATTAACGAAAAGTAAATCGTATAAACCAATTGAATGATTATCCGATATTTTATTGAAATAAATATCAGCAATAGCGTATATAGAAGAACATAGCATGAAAAAAAAAAGATTACTTAATAGTATGCGTTATTTTTACACATTATACACACTTCATAGTAAGTTTCATATCAAGTAAGATTACCACTGCATAATCTTTTTAGATGAAATTCAAGCATTGAAGGGTGTGGTGATTAGTAGGTTGATAGATCTTCTATACAAACTACATCTATTATATATTGAAAGAATAATTAAGCAGATCATTGAATATTAATTACAATTAGTTAAAGTCAAATTTAAAGGAATTTTTTAATTTGATAAAGTATTTCGACGTAAAAATGATCGTTGTGAATTTCGAAATCCATTATCAAAGAAACCAAGAATAAGTGTACCAAATATACAAACTATAAAAAATCCTCCAACCAAACAACCAAATAAAATTAAGAAAACAATCGCTGGATCTAAGTTTGTTGCTTGATTACGTCCTCTTATTCGTCCATAGTGAACATCTGCATAAGTTCTTACATACCCATCATTTACTATTAATCAAAAAAAAAAATAGTTCTTTTGTTTTTTTTTTCTTTTCTCATCAATTAACTCACCTTTAATTAAAATTAGTATACTATCAATAAAAAACAACAATTGGACGAACATGAAAAGATTTTTTGATTGATTAAGAAAAAAAAAAATAAAAATTTTTCTCACATGCAACACTTGCTATTAGATATATAAAACGTGTCATATTAGCAAATAAAAGTATACGTGATATTTTTCTATTATAATTTCTATCTTTGACTAAAATGGCAATTATTATGCCATGTTTTAGAGAAAAAAAAAGTATTCAATCTATTAAAAAGAAACATACTCAAAACAAATTCTAAATCAATTATTCCAAGATATTGGAAATTTGAAGTTTGAGTAAAATTATTTTTTTTTTTTTTTCTATATTTTCATTTAATAACAAAAAAAAAAAAGATATCTATAGCGACAAGAAAATTTATTTTCATTCCTAATTCATTTTATACAAATTATTTTCTTGTATCTTCATTATGCCTTGTCGATCTCAAAAAGTTTTATGTAATAAAAAAAAATCAAATTCATCTAACACAGGAACAGATCAATTAATACCATTGAATATGAATGCATGTAATCAAACACAATGTATGTTTTTTATTTTAATATAAGTTTACTATTAATTTTTTTTTTGTTTCTAAATAGCTAATATAATTTCTCATTTGGAATCAATTGGTAATTTAATAATTAATGAATTAACAGGGTCAGAACGTAATCGTTTAAAACAACAATTACTTATATCTTGTATTTCAAATACAAATCCAATTCATAATTTACCATTTTCTTCATCAAAAACAAATTTAAAACAAGTATTAACTGATTTACATACATATGATTGTCATACGCAACGACAATATCGTACAATTGGTATAGGTGATAATGATATAAATATAAGTACATCAAAAACAAATGTTAATCAATTAGATATAACAACAACACAAAATAATAATACAAATATATTAAATAATGAAATTCAATTATCAACAATAACAAAACGTAAAAAACGACAAATTAATCATTTAAATTTATTACAAATAAATGAACCAAAGAATAATACATCGAATATAATAACACGAACTATATGCACAAGAAGTTCAAAATTGAATAGTTTAAATAACAATCAAGAACAATCGAATTCTGGTTAGTTGAAAATAGAATTTTAATGACAATAATAGTAATCTATGGCCTTTATTATTCATTCAAAAAGTCAATGGACTTTGTTATATCAAAAATAACTCAAGTATAAAAGTTACTAGCGAAAACCGCAGATCGCTAGCAACTTTTATGCTTGAGTTTTTTGTGATACAATAAAATCTATTGACTTTTTGAATAAATAATAGTTATTCTTCATCGAACACGTAAACGTCGATTATCTTTGATAAATCCATCAACTCCAAGCAATAATAATGTAGTAGATAATACAATAGAAGAATCTCATTTAGATTTACAAAAAAATATCGGTATTTAAATTGTTAATTAGATTTTCTTAATTATTCATACTTGATTTTTATTATTAGGAAATGATGTATCTGGTATAAAAGTATCTCGTAAAAAACTTCAATCATCTGTTCCATTGTTAACATCAATCGAATATTCAAAAACTATAAACGATTTTTAATTTAATATTTTAACAATTTTTGTTTTTGCTGAAAATACTTTAGTTTAGTAAATAAATAAATGGCGCCATAAGAAATAAATATAAATGGCGCGTTTTGTTAACAACAATCTATCTTTAGTATAAAATAATCGATTTCTTTGTTTTTTTTGAATTCATTTTCTGTGTCCAAGTCTTTTTGTTTTTATTATTACGATCGTTTCATTATAAATAATATATATTTATATATTATTTTTGTTGTGTATTCATATTTTAACCAACGTCAATGTCGTACGATATGACAACTGGCACTGCAAAATTTGAACGAATGACAAAAGAAGAAAAATTACGTTTTTGTCAAGATCTTATTAAACAAGCTGCTAATTTAACTAAATCACCAGATTTAAGTGGTGTTCGTTCAACAGGAAGTAAATCTAGTAGTAGTGGTGTACGTTCAACAAGTAAATCAAGTAAACGACCAGCTTCAATTAGTGGTACTCTATCGAAAAAAACTAAAAGTGGAACATTAAGTCATGATGAAAAATCAAAATTGCATAGTAAATCAACTATAGCTAAACAATCAGCATCAAAATCTATGGTCAAATCATCTACAGTACGTAATGTGTGTGATTTCATTTTTTTTTGCTTATTAAATTTATATATTTATCTAGCCATCAAAATCGAAGACAAATTTTCGTCATTCTTCTTCAGTTCGGGTTAGTGTTTTTCTTTTTTTATTTGCTATATATTGTTTATACTGATTTTTCTTTAGTCGGGAGATAATAAATCGAAAGCAAATAGTAACATATCTTCTATACGTACAGGTGGTGGTATTCAATCAAGTATGAAAGCAGGTAATAATGATTTCAAATTTTCTATTGAAGAAATTCTTTTTTCTTGTGTTTCGGTGTTAAACATAAAACAAAATCAAAATTGAAAACTGCAAAATCTGGCACAGTAAAACGATCAACATCAAAATCAGTATGTCTATATCAGAGTCGTAACCGAGTCAGTTAGAAGAGATTTTATAGATATACCATTCTTCTCTTATAAAATTTCTTGAGAGTAAGTTCGGTTACTCTTGTGTCAAAATAATCAAACAGTGTTGTTTCAAAAACTATTTGTTCACACTGTTTTATATCTTTAATTGAAGTGTATTTCTAGTTTTTTAAAAAACACAATCGAAATTGTATTAATGGAGCTAAACTTATATCATTTGTATTTTTGATAAAGATCAAATTGAAGTTCGGATCGTTGTTCGAAGAGAAACGTTAGATTTTTCTATGAAAAGACTGACGAGGGAATTACCTGAATTGATCTTCGTCGTTTGAACTTGTATTGTGTTCACAAAGAGGTCTCGATAAGACTAGAAAAATACTAAAAGAATTCGTGCTTATAGATCTCTGGAACCGATTTATGACTATCTTACAAGTTTCACTCGAAAAGAATGTTTCTTTATTGAGATATTGAATTTCCAAAAAAATGATCATTCATCGCAAAGATTGAGTTTAATTGAAAATTCATTATCTCGACACAAGAACATTCTTTTCAGCTGAAACTTTCACAGAATATTCTACTAGTCATTCGACTTATTTATGAGCGAAATTTCAGGACGAAATAGTGTTGAAAATTTAGTAAAACTGTCATAACTCGTTTCTAGAGATCCATGAACAATTCATTCGTGAATGAGAAAATTTAAGATTTAGAATTTAGTATTCAGTTGATGAGTAAGTTACTCTTTTTTTTTTCGCGCTATATATTGAAATATCACATAAGGAAAATGAATATTTTTTGAAGCTATTCCTATAAACCGATTAGTAATGATTCAACAAATTGACCGATCATCTACTAGACCGAACTATGTCAAAAATTCTCGACCGATTACAACTCTGGTTTATTTATTAAATCAATCAAATGTTAATTTTTTTTTGTTTTATTATATTTTTCTTAGTCAATGCGTAGTAATAAATCAAAGAGTAAACCACAACATCCATCTAAAGCGGCTTCACATTCATCAGTAAAAGTTGATGGTACAAGTGCTGTTCGTTCGGCTTCAAATACAAGTGGTTTGCATTTGTTAACTTGCCAGATTGAATTAAATTATTCGATAATAATTATAGGTAAAAAAACAAGTGTAAAAAGTTCAACATCAAAAGCTGGATCCAAGACTGATTTGGGAGTAAGTTTTTTTTGTTATTAAAAAAGAAAAAGCATTTTTATATAAATTCATCATAGGATTCATCATCTATCGCTGTCACACCAACTAGTATTATTTATTTTTAAATTTTACGAATAGATAGTTTTTTTATTTACTGTTAGGTGCCCATACAAAATCAGGAACTATATCGAAATCAACAGCACATAGCCAAAGTCGACCAGCTGGTGGTACTTCAAGCATTCGTTCTACTGGTAAGATTTCCATATAAGCATTTACATTAAATCTTAGAATAATAATTTTAGTTGCTTCAAAATCAGATAAGAAAACGAATGGAACTCAAAAGGCAAAATCAAGCACTAAGAAAAAGGTTCAATTTTCTAATCTACAAAAATAAGAATATTTTTTCATTTTATAGACAACAACTAAATCTGTTCGTTCACCATTAAAATCCTCACCAATGAGTACCAAGACTGATAGTAAAATTAGTGTAAAGAATAAAACTAAATCAAGTACAAAAACAACTGGAAAACACCGATCAAAACATTCACGTATACCAATAAAAGATTATACTGAAACATGTGCTGTACAATTTGTACCAAAATTTAATGCGAATTCAACAAAAAATCAAGTACCAATTTATCATCTTATTCGTCATGCATTTGGTAATATGGTACGTGAAGCTATATGTCAATTAGATAAAGAAAAATCCGGTGTTAGTTCTCAACAAATTATTGATCATATACTTAAACATTATTCATTTCCAAATAATATATCTCAAAGTGCTATACGTAATCGTACAATATTTACAATTAATGCTGGTTTACGTGCTGGTACACTTCTTACAGTTAGTCCAAATAAAGGTGTTCGAATTGGTCGTATGCGTCGTATTTATCCACGTATGCTTTGCTAAAAGAATAAAAAAAAGAATGAAAAAAGAAAAACTTTCCATTGTTTGTCTTTTCCTTTTGTATTTATGACGAGAATATTATTCTATTGAAATAAAAGAAAACAAAAAAAAAAAAGTGATGAAAACTTTTTTCTTTAGCTATTGTTCTTTTTTTTTTTGCTTCTTTTTTTATTCATTTATCAAATGTCGTCTGTGCATGTTAAATACTTTGAAATAGACTGATGCATTTTGATTTTTCATGTTGCAGACAATAGCAGCTACTTGAGAACATGTCATTTTGACAGTCAGTAGTTTCAATTTTTTTTTATAGATGAAGGACATATTTTACTTTTTAGCTTGTTAAAATTTAATATACGAATAAGAATTTGTTCATACAACGTTGAATAATTGGTAATGTATGATGTGATATGACATGTTTATGAATGTAGAAAATCCACCGTTCTCTCTCGCTCTCTCTCTCTGTCTCTTTGCCAAAGGAATATGAACAATAAGAAATTCAATCATGATATTCTTCCTTTTTTTTTGTAATTTAAAACCAATTTTACTATTTGAACAGATCAAATATTCATTAAATAAGAGCTTTTTTAATCTATCGTCGCAATAGAATTTATTAGTGTTTTCATTTAAATTTTTTCAACATGTAAAAATGTATGATTTACATAATGATTTTTTGTCTTGCTTGAAATGAATTCATTCAAATTTCTGTTAATTTACTTACACTTAATGTTATAGACTACTATCTAAATAAAATTTCATATATATATATAATTTTATGGCTTTACTCATTTGACTATGTTGGAATAGAATAGTAGAATTATTCTATTTATTTAGTCAATAGTACAAGTGACCAAACAAAAATGTTAAAAGTTTTCGTATAAAAACATTTTTCATTTGCATAGTTATTCTTAAAACTTGATAAGTTTTTTAACACACAAGAAAAAAAAGTAGAATATCATCACATGCCAATGAATAATTTATATAACAGATATTAAAATCTATTATTTTTCTTTTTATTATTCATCAAATAAAAATAAATAACCGTTATTTAGGTTTTTTTTTCTCTAGATAAACATGATGCTTACAACACGACGACCAACAAGTCGTATTGATATGTATGATAATACAACTTTACTTCAGCATGAATATGATACAAATATAAATTTAAAGAAAACTGATCTTTACTCTCCATCACCACCACCAATGTCTTATCGTGATTTACGTTCATTTATGTTTAATAAAACACCATTATCATCAGCAACAAATGTTGTTATTATACCTGAATCATTGAATTCAACACAAAAATTAGTAAAAAATTCATCAAATGTAATAACGGTAGAAAGTCCTCGAAAAAATTCACATCGAAAAAAACATAGTCGTCAAGGTATCGATGTATATCGGTCATTGATACGAACAGATTCACGTTGTTCAGCATCATCCGAACGTGATTTAACAAATGATGAAATGATGATTTTAGCTAATTCATTTATTATTGATCATATAATATCAACACCAACAAGTGGTTTTTTTCATCCACAAAATTTACCTAATATTCAAAGACATCGTATTATTCATAATAGTGTTAGAATTGGAAGTAGTTATACAAAAATAAGTCATACATCATCACCATCGTTATATATTCAACATTTTGGACGTAAACGATCAACAACTCCGCAACGCATACATCGAACATCACCTATTGATGTCCAACATGAAACAACTACTAATAATATGACAACAACAGCAACAACAACAATAACAACAACAGAATTTTCATCACCTATACCCGAATCACAAACTCGTAAACAATTACATGTGTATATGCCACATACTGTTTCTTGTTAGTTTACAAGGATTTTTTTTCTTCTTCATGTCACGAACTTTTCTACTAGTGTTATTTGCTTCAAAAAAAAGAAAAAAAACTACCGTGGTTTTTTTTTTACTACTGAAAAGCCCGTAAGATTGCTGTTCAGTCAAGCAAGAGTAACATTGAAAAAGAACAAGTAATAATGACAGAAAAAAAATTTTTTAAGTAAATACTATGATTTTATTGATAACAGGAAATAGAAAACAAAATTATATTAACTGTTAGTTTTCTATTCTTTTTCTATTTATAGTATACACTAAAATCTTCATTTTCTATTAATATATGTATAAATCACTTATGTTGAACTATTTTGTTGTTAAAATAGAACAAAAAAATAATGAACCATTAATGCAGGTTTGCACTAATCACGATATAGAAAACACGAGAGCTTTCGGTCTAGCTGAGAAAAATAAAAAAAAAAAGTTAAAGAAATCTAATCAAAAACATCATCGTCGTCGTCATTCTGTTCTCCTCTGTGTGTTAGCAATCATAGAACAACATTAATTTTGATATATTTTGCCTAGAATGATTGAAACACCACGGGAAACAATTATGATGATCAATGAAGAACAACGTTTTGCTCTTCGTTCAATAACAAATTCAAAAAATTTATCTTTTGACCAGTATGCCTATTCACGTTATAAATATGGTGATAGTAATCAGGCAAAAATATTTGGACAAGAATTATGTACAGGTTTTATAGAAAAATGTCATGATTTTCTTCTTACATCAAATCAACAATTTATGGCTATATCATCACCACGTGGTATTATACCGCCAGCTGCTTATTATATATTTCAATCATTTTTAGAAAAATTAAATTGTTTTTTACAATTAAATGAACGTCCACCAGCATTAGAACATACAATACAACGTTTAAGTACAATAGCAGAAGATTATTCATTATTATCAAGACGTGAACGTTTTAATCATTTAAACGATGAACGATATTCAATTGATAGACAACCGATTATGAATAAATTTTTATTATTTATTGATGATATTCGTATTACAGGTAAGAAATAGACATTAGATCGATTTAGATTTTTCAAAATTTAAATCGAACCAAAACTGAGATTGATTTTAGGATACTGTGAACCACACTGATCGGTTCGATTTGTGAATCGAATCAATCATATTTCTGACAAGAAACGACATATCATTGATGGAATTTTATTTTTTCATTTGTTATTATTATTATTATTATTATTATTATTGTTTTCTTTTTTGAAGGTATGCACGAAATGAATATTATACGCTTATTAAAAACATCACAAATTTATAATTCATGTTTATTTATTTATTATGCTCAATTAATAAATGATCAAATATCATCATCATTTGAACATGAGTTAAATCGATGTGCAATAGATAATCTTGAAAAACTTTTAGAAATAATACATAATCCATTATCATCATTTCAAATAAATACACGTGTATTAAAAGAAATTTTACGTTCAAATTCAACTGAACTTGATCATTTTTTACATTCAATTAGTACTGATCTTATAGCAAAACTTTATTATGCATGTCTTGCATGTCATTATCAAACAATTGAAATATTTGCTGATAGTTTAAAGTACATGCAACGTTGTCTTCAACAACGACAAAATATTGATAATATAAAACAATCAGAATAAAAACAAGAAAGAAAATAAATAATAATAACTCAATAGATTTTTGCATGTTTATCAATTCTCTTTATTTTTAGTAAATAAAGAAGAAATAACCAATAGCTTTTACAACTTAAATCTTAGTTATTAATTAAAAGAAAAAAAAAGAAGAGAGACATGTTCTTATCGACGTCGACCAAAATATGTGTCCCAATGATGTTTTCGGCCAAATGAATAACGTTCTGTTCGAGCATGACCGGTGTTGTCATATGAATGACTTCCTGAAGGAATAAATTCTATTGATGGAAATATAAGATTAGCTGCTCGTGATGGAACAAATGCTTGATCATCATCGTCACCATATTTTTGCTTATTATTAGTATTAATATTGTTTGGTAGTAAATATGGATCATAAACAATAATCGATCCATAAACATGCATTACAATAAGACATGATGCTAAATATATAAAAGAAAAACGATTTCGATTATTTTCTTGATTAATTTGAATAATTTATATTGAAAAACGAATGTTTAATAGACAACAAAAAAAGCGAATACTTACTGATAATAAAGAGTAGATAGAAACTTGGAACCATGATGACTATATATGCGATTATGGTTGTTCGTATTGTAATTATATAGGCTATTTATTTTTTTAGCATTCATGTCGAGAAACAAGAGAAAAAGAATTAATTATCAAGAGTGGATAGATCTTGAACTAATTCCACATGATCTTTTATTCGTTTTCACAATACAAGTGTAAAAATTGGCATTCACCATTATCTCCCATGTCATTCATTCCTTTTTTCTTTTTATTAGTGATCATCTCTTGTTTTTCTTTTTCTATGACTTTTCTCTATCTTTTTCATATATTTTTTCTTGTATGCATTTTCAATAATCCTAAAAATGGAGCCTAAACAATGCAATCTCTTAATCAGTTGAAAACATGATTTTAATTATTGAAAGAAATGCAAAACGAAAGAGAAGAAAAAACGTCATGGTAAAAAAATATGCCAGATTATGTATGTTACACCTAGCTTCATCGTACTATCATATAGATAATGATTAATTTTATATAAAGAACAATGCATATAGGCAAGGCATGCATATATATATATATATGTATATATTAAATTACAAAAGAAAAAAAAGCCATGAACAAGCAAACAAAATTTTGTCGTTTATATATCTATGTTGTCTCATCATCAATATATACAATAATGCCACTGTATGAGCAAAATGACTACTGAAAAAAAAAAAAAGAAAAAAAAACAATCAAACAAAAAAAAAAACGTTTCTTTTTTTGTTTTGATCAATGACCAGCATCACAAGAAAAAAGAGAGAAAGGCAAACAAATAACTAATTTCATCAAAAAAGAACAAAAAACAAATTTATTGTATACCAAATGTATTTGTTTCTTCAATAGCTAATAATAATTTATTATGTAATATATCATATGATGTATAAGATGGTAAATCAAGACGATTAAAACATGTATGAGCACGTGGTAATGCATCTGATATTCCCCAACGTTCAATACAAAAACGTCTTGGTCCATTTGAACCACGTAATGCTGAAAAACCTTCATATGGTATTGATGATGTACCAGTAACAAATTGTAATAATTTTAAACGTTGTTCATTATCAAAACGTTTTTCAACACAAAACCAAAACCATTCAATAACATGATGTTGTGCATGATAACCACCACGATATTCTGTATTTGTACGCCAATCATTTAAATCAATTTCCATTGTACCACATAAAGCTAATTCTAATTCACGTGCATCAAACATAGATGAAATCAATTTATGATCACCAATTATTTCATAAAAACCACGTACAAAACAATCAATTTGTTCTTGTACACCACGTTCAATACGCCATTTAATAATTAAATCAAGAAATTCACGTTTATTACGTTCTGTAACTTGACAATTTTTTCCATCTGGTTTTAATTCTTTTTCAATTATTTTGCCACATTGATCTTCATTAACATAAAAATATAGATCTTGATTTTCAACATTATTTTCTTTTATCCATAATAATGATTGATAAAATTCTGGATCAAGTGATTCTAAATCAGCTAATGTAAATGATTGATGTTCACGTAATAAAGCTTTATATAATGGACGAACAAGAAATGCATCAACAAGATATTGATTTATCAATGCCACAGCTATATTTAAAAACAAAATATCAAGAATTAAACAAAAAAAACCAATAACAATAATCATCAAAATCGTCATTTATTGATGAGAATATGTCTAACGAGACAAATGATTAATCGTTGATGAGTCACCACACAATCTGTATTACATTGACACTAATGAGTTATGAATATTCCGATGCGTTCGTGCTGTTAGTTTATTCCTGTCGAGATGAGGGTCACCGATTAGGAAGAGGATGATGCGGAAGACTTTACCTTCTCAAAAGTGTCGAACTTTCTGCAAAATTGACTTACAGCCTCATGGGAAATTATGATGAAAAGAGAATTCTAGTGGCTTTGAGCTCTATGTTCGACAGATATTCATCTAGAGACATGTTTCCTTACACAAAATATTGCAGAAGGCCGATGTTTTCAGCGCCTTCTATTCGGTCTCGGCTAGAAAGACGAAAGAAGATCCTTTCTGCCGAATTTTCAGACCTTATCAAATTCAAAAACAATCGGAAACCCCCGTTGAAATACTATATTTTTTAAACCAAAGCTGTGGTCCGTTTCAGAAACACTCAAAAAAAGATGATTTTCGAATTTTGCACAGAGATAAACTTTAAACAGAATAGTTTATGGCATTTTCGTCGTTTTCATCTTAAGATACGGTTATGGTAAAAACGTATCTTTTACATCGTTTATATAAGGCCGTGGTAAAAAGTTTAACAACAACATATTTTTTCACCATTTGATACTGGCGACTAGGATATTCTTTTTTCAAGATACGAACAAATCAAAAAGTCTCTCTCTGTGCAAAATTTCAAGTCGAAATTCAAGAAGTCAGTTTTTCTGAAGCGGGGACAAACCACGATTTCGATTTACTAATTATCATAAAAATGTAGTATTTCATCAGTAATAAACTAACAGCATGAATACTTTTCAGGACATTCATGAGAGTCTATATAATATACATTATCTCAACTCAAAATTAATTAATAAGTTGATGAACATCTCTCGCAAGTATAACTTTAGTATTGATCGTTTCGAAAAAGAATTTTTCAGTTAACATGATAATCTAAAATATTATGTGACAAAGAAATCAATATTCTTGATTTCAACTAAAAATTTCATTGTTTTTCAAAGACGAAACATTATTATTATTATTATTATTATTTACAACTAATTCTGATCATAAACACATCTTGTTATGTATTACAAAGAAATTATAAACCCAATATTAAACTCCGTCAAGTCCGATGGGTTCTAATCATCTGAGAAATATGTGGGGTGTACTAGTCACCGAATACAACAAACCGGAAGAAAGCATCCCGTATCTTTCGGGCGGAAAACTATTCAATTTTCGATTAGAAAATTTCATTGGAAATCTCAAACTACGGTTCGATCGAGTTTCGATTTGAAAATTTTGAATCCGACAAGCTCTTGTCAATTTAATTCTCTTACCAAGCATTCGTCCACCAAAACGCATCCATTCTGTATAATTTTCATTAAATTTTGACATTGGACTTATTTGTAATGTATATTGATCACTGGCTGAATATTCAAAAAATCCATAATATGGATTAAAAAATTGTCTTGACATAAGTAAAAAGAATTCTCTTGATGGTCCACCATAATCAAGACCTTCTTCACCTGTAAATGTAATAAATAATTTATTTCGTTGTAAATCTTTTTTTGATATTTGATTCATAAATTTTTCAAATGCATCAGCAAGTAAATTATTTCGTGATATAGATACTTTAGTTTTTGATGGACCTGTTCCATAACCTTTTGAATCAAGTTTTTTATAGAAAGCACGTAATTTTTGTTGAAAACATGGTCGACGTGATGATGAGGATGATGATGATGATGATTGTTGATTTGATGCACGTCGTGATGCTGCTGATGATTTACCATGTTCAACAATAAATGTTGTTGATGGTGCTGATGATGATATAAATGATGATACTGAATGTGATGTTGTAACCATAGCTGATTGTGTTAATGGTGGAATATAAGACATAATATCTTCATGAAAGACACTAATAAGTAGACTTAAATCAACAGAATTTGATAATGTATCAAGTGCTCGAACACCATCTGTACGTATTAATTGAATTTTATCACGTAATTTATTTGTTAATGGTACAAGCTAAATAAGAATAAAAAAAAAATAACAATATGTTTAATGATAAAGAAATAATCATTTTTTTGTTTTTTTTTATTTACTTGATTTGCTTTAAGTAAATCAAATATATTCGATTGTCGCATAAATGCAACAACTTTTTCATTATAAGTCATTGTTATAAGTTCATGTGGTTTTTTATTTATTCGAGATGATATTGAAGAATTATCATCATTTCTATTCGATGTTGGTAATGCAATAGCAGCTATTATTGATTGTTGTTCATCATCATTTGGTAAACGTGGATCAATATATGTTGTTGAACGTGTATTATGATCAACAAAAAATAATTTTCCACTATCATCATGTTTAATATCCCAACGAGACGGTAAGGGTCGTGTTGGATCAGCAAATAAATTAAGAAAACGTACTAGTTCTTTATTATGTTGATATCTTTTAAATAATAATGGATCATGTCGTATACGTTGTAATATACCGGCTAATGAATCAGATTTAATCATTTGACGTGCTTCACGATGTGTTTTAAAAAATTGATTAAAATCTGATCGACATATAAATTTTAAAGCTGGAGTTGCACGAACATAATCTTCTGTTGTTTGTATTGTTGAAGAAGCTGATGATGAGGATGATGATGATGATGACGATGATGATAATATATCATTATTTGTATTATTATTAGTATTATTATTATTAGAAGAAGGAATATTAGATGAATCGGTTGTAGAAGGATTTATTGTTGTTCGTCGAATACTTTGATAACGTTTATCCATTCGTTCACGATCAATTGTTGGTGATGAACTTATAGGAGTAGTAATAATAGTAGCAGCAGCAGCAGCAGTAGTAGTAGTAGCTATTGGAAGACGAGGTGTTGGAACAATTATTTGTGATACTATTGTGGGACGCTGCCATGTTGTTGTTTTATTATTATGATCAATAAAATAGGGTCGACCAAATTGATCAATTCGACTTTCCCATCCAGAAGGTAATGGAGGAGAAGCATTAATTATCGGTGGAGATGGAGGATCACTTATATCAGCTGTTAATGTTTGTGGTGGTGACGTTCTAGTATCAACAGTAACTGGTTTACGTGGTAATGTAACCATAAATGAAGATTCACTTAACCTAAAAAAAAAACAACTGTTAGTACAATTTCTGTTGGATTAAAATGTGAAAGACGATGTAACTACTGATGCTAATCGCAGGGAGATTAATTTATTCTATCTATTTTGGGGCACATTTCTTCATCATCCTTCAGAAATGTAATAAGGAAATGTTTCATGTATTAGAAGGAAATGTTATTG